CCGTAAAAGTGGAACTCCGCCCCGATTTCCTCGCAATCGGTTCCTCGGAGACAACCCCTTCCTCGGAATCGGTGGAGTCTCGTACAAAAAACTGAAAAATCACTAAAAGATTGAATGAAACTCGCAAAAAGATGATGGAAAAATCGTTTCAGAAATATTTACGAATCAACTTTGGGTGCAAACGCGGAAACGACAAATCACACAAATTCTTGCTACCGTAATCCATGAACTTTTCTTGAAAATTTCCATGATTTGCTTTTCTTCTTTTATCGTTATGCTTTCAGCTGTTGTCTTGAACATATCTATGCTAATTTTCTAAATTCCAATGCTATCGGTCATGCCCTTAATCTCAAAAACTTTGACTTTCCCTCTAACTGAGCGCACACTAGTGTTGCGCCTGCATCCCCCAGCTGGCGCTTATCTCTCTTCATCGCGTGGTACAGGCGCACTCTCTGCGCTCTCTCTCTCTCTCTTTTCTAGTTTGTGATTATTGATTCTGTCATTGCAGCTGATATTCAATGGATACTTCCGAGCCTAACTGTTCGTCACACAATTTTCAACCCAATGATTTAATCTGGGCAAAAATGAAAGGATTTCCGCCATGGCCAGCAAAAGTATGTGTTTTTCCTTTATGTTTTTATCGATTTTTGAGCTAGATTTTATTCAGATTAAATACCAATTCAATTTAAATTACAGGTGTTAGAAAGAACCGAAGACACGCCGGCCAGGCGGATTCCTGTAATGTTTTTTGGTACATTGGAGACTTCTTTCATGAAACCAACCGATCTTTCGGACTATGAAGCGCATCGGTCAGATCACGAGATTCCAAGAAAACAAAAAGATTTCAACAAAGCTGTCCAAGAAATTCGTAAAGCCGCAGGAATAGAGTCAGATTCAGATGAAATCAACTTCCCAATAATGGAAAGAAAAAGTCCTCCAAGCTCACCGACAGCAGGAAGAAAACGTCAAACTAGTGGGCGATTTATGGATGCAATATTGGCCGGTCCGGATAAAATGAGAGGCAACCGATCAGGCAGTGCATCTACGAAGTGAGATCTATTCAGTTCCTTATCATAAATTTATATTTATTCGCTCCAGAACACGCTCCCGTGCATCCAGCAACGCATCAGCTACCAAAGTTTTGCGAGACATGATCCGAAAAGAGAGAAGACATCGCATGAACAGTGAGAGCTCACACGGATCACGGAGAAAGCTTTTGAACAACGCACTTCTGAGTGGCGGAGGGATTCCATCGACTTCAGACGCATTCCCTGATTATGCAGATTCTACAGATTTCAATGCACTCTTTGGAGATGCTATACTTGGCAACTTCGATTTGGGCGATGATTCGAAATCATACAAGTCTAAAAGATCGCGTGGAAGTTCCAAAGTTTTTGAGGATATCTTTAGTAGAAGTCGACACCGATCTGGAAGTGCATCTGGTCGACGCTCACGTATGATCTCGCTATCTGGATTCTCTGGAGTATCGGATATGTTTGATGAGTTGTTCAACAATCAAGGTGATTTGGATAACCATGCAGATCAATTGATACTGACTCTCAACAATATGCCATCGGACGGATCTATAGACAGGCCCTTGAGTCCAGAACTATTGACCTTGAATCCATTAGATAGACCCGCGGTGGAGTTTTGTGATCAATGTGGGTATGAGTGTCGAGCTCAAAACGGTGTTTGGAGCTGCAAATCAGCCCATTGTGGTGTTATCAAAACACAGGGTGGAGCAACAGTTCGCGGCATTCTTGACGAGACAATACGTATTCCGAAACTTGAGGTCAAAACTGAGTGTATCAGTGATAATAGTTCTGAGAAAACTGAACTGCCAGTTGTTTTGCCTGCTAAAAGAGTACGGAAACCAAAACGAAACTCTGACGATGATGAGTCGGATGACGAGGACGCTTCGAAACGGTCCAAGGCTGTGATCAAGAAAAAGAAAAAAGTCCAGGTCCAAAAATTGCGAATGAAGACTTTTCGACTCATAAAGTTGAATTTCAGGTACTCTCCCCACGTTCGCGAACATCAAGTCCCACTCCTCAAACACCTTCCGCCACTGTTCTACTCGGTCGGTCGAACTCTCCAACATCCAGCTCGCATCGGATTCGTGATCGCGCGCGTCCGAAACACTAGTAAGTCCCTCGTCATTAAACAAAAATCATGACAGAGACACGTCAACACTGATAAAGTGGTTACAGCAAAGTTGAAAAGACACCCGTAATTTCGGAGAGTGGTCACCGGCACTGTGTCAATTGCAATGGCCAAGTCAGACCGCAAATGTGTGGAGGTAATCGACATAGATGGCGTTGCGTGGACAAGAAGTGCCGAAAGTGGTATGGATGGGTTCGTTCTCATGAAGAGATACCGAAAAACACTGGACGTAAGAAGATGACAACATTTAAATCGCCAATCACTAAACCTATGAAACCTATAAAACCAAGAAAAGAGGAAGAAGACGATGGATATACTTTGAAGCGAAAAGTCGGACGCCCATCTAAACACGATCTGAAGATTCGCTTGAGGTTACAAAAAGAAGCTGAAGAGAAGCAAGCAGTAGTGAATGCTGCACGTGCTGCTCAGATGCTTAGTGATCCACCAGTTGAGATGTCTCCCGGAGGCCAAGTTGTTCCACAACCACGTAGAAAGTACACGAAACGAAAGAAAGATGGACTAGGTGGTGCTAATGGAAGCAAAAGAGACTTCAGTCCATTTGATGAGGATGTTAAACATAGACGTAATATATCTTGTGCATGGTAACTGTAAACCTTTTTTCTTTTACAGCAGCATCCCCTATTTCGGAGCAAACTGCGTCGTACCGTCCATCTGCGATGGAGAAACGTGCGAGATGGTGGACAGGAGAAAAACGAAGGGTCGATGCGTCACCTGAAAGAGAATTTGGAACGACTGGCGCTGATTCAACGGCAGCTTTCAGAATGATGGCTCATGCTGTAAGATCGGCTGCAGTCACTAGGTAATTCGGAAGTTCAGTTATGATCTTATGATGAATAACCCCCATTGAGAATTTTTTTTTCTGGTTACGGTATTTTTAGCATAAATAATATCGGAGTTGAATTTCAGAGCTGACGAAGTTGGCACAGTCAATGGTTCATTGGATCTTCTCATGGATAGTCTCATCGGATCGATGGGTCCACTTCTCGCTAACCTGACAAGATTACCGGCCTTCCGAGACGATAATCAGTTGGCACAACAACTATGGAATGCATCTGCTGTCCACATTCCAACTTTCCAATAATAGCATCCGTTTAGAATCTGAACTTTAGATCTTGTTCATGAGGTTTCATTCCTCACCCCATATATTGAATCACTTTGCAACCTTTATGTAATAGTTTCGATGATATAACCTGAATTTCAAACATTGTCCAGTTTATTAGCCTTCTTCGTTTAGAATCACTATCTCGGTCTCGATTAATTTTATGTATGCCTTAATCAGTCATCTTTTAATCAAGTACAAATTAATGAATTTTTAAAAAATCCTCTTCTATTATTTTCACTTGAGAAAATTAGAATTTCTAAAGCACTGGAGACCTAGATTCAACAATAATATGTTCCTCTCCAATAATAATACTTTCGGAATCTGGTACGCCTGATAAAAATGAAAGCTGTATCTATTTTTTTCAATTCTAATTGTTTAAATGCTCGAAAAGTTTGGTTTTTTGAATTTTCAGAATTTCTGATTTTCCAAAATTTCTAAAAAACTTTCATTTTCTGAAATTCCGAATCTTTTTTTTTGGGGTTTTCAGTAAAAGTGGTTTTTCAAAGTTTCCGGTTTTTCAGATTTATCGAATTTCCAGAAATTCCCGTTTTTTTTATTTCTGAATTTTTCCATTTCTGGATTTCCGATATTTTTGAATTCCAGAATTCCTGAATTTCAGAAATGCTGGATTTCTGAGTTTCCGATTTTCTGAATTTTCGAATTTCAGAATTGCCGATTTTTCAGAATTTCCAAAGTTTCAAATTTTTAGAATTTTCGATTTTTCTGAATTTCCGAATTTTTAAAATTCCGAATTTCTGTTTTGATTTCAAACGTTTTGAAGTGGTGAAACCTTTAAATTTTTCCGATTTTAGTTTTTTTTGTCTCTGAAGTTTCAAAATGCTCATTTTCAGATGACGTCTGTATACGAGAGTCTATTATCAGAGTATCCTGATAAAGGCGTTGTCGGAAAACCAGAGGTAAACCCAATGTTTCCGACATATTTAAAAAATCAATGCTTTCAGATCCGGGACACGGAAGATCAGATGATCGAGAAGCTTCGAGTCCTCACGAATCACTTCCGAAACGCCAAAGATACGGAAAAACCCATTTTTGTGTTAATCGGAGCTGGAGTTAGTACGGGCTCGAAGCTTCCGGATTTCAGGGGAAAACAAGGTGTTTGGACGTTACAAGCAGAAGGAAAACATGCAGAAGGCGTTAATTTCCAAGTGGTCCGTCATTTGAAATTTCGTTTCAACTTACAGAGTTTAGTGAGAGTTCAGGCTCGTCCAGGCGTTTCGCATAAATGCATTCTGGCTCTACACAAAGCGGGATATATCAAAACGATAATCACTCAAAATGTGGATGGATTGGATCGAAAAGTGGGAATCCCTGTGGAAGATCTGATCGAAGTGCACGGAAATCTGTTCTTAGAAGTTTGTCAATCGTGTTTTAGGTGAGAAGATCTTCTAGAAGAGAATTCTATGCAAATCTATGCAAACATATTTTTCAGTGAATATGTGCGAGAAAACATTGTGATGAGTGTTGGATTGAAACCAACTGGCCGCAATTGTGAAGGAAACAAAAAAACAGGTCGTTCCTGTCGTGGAAAGCTTCGTGATGCTACTCTAGATTGGGACTCTGAAATCGACCATAAGCATCTGACGAAAATCAAAAAGACATGGAAAGAATCTTCACATCTTCTTTGCATCGGAACTTCCCTTGAAATCATCCCAATGGGTTCTCTTCCAGTCGACGCAAAAGCTCGCGGAATCAAAACTACTACTATTAACTACCAAGAAACTGCTCATGTAAATACTTGATTTTTGATTCCGGGCAACATAATTTTTCAGGAAAAAATCGTGGAGACTGCAATCCATGCGGATGTCAAACTGATTCTCTACTCACTATGTCACTCACTCGGCGTTGAAGTTGATCTCGGAAACGATCTCCCTGATGAAGTGCCTGTACCATTGGAAATTTGTTAACATTTTAAATGACTTTGTAAACGGCTCAAGTACAATAATGAAGAAAATGGATTTTGATTTCGTTTATTTAATGGATCATAGAACGAGAAGATAGAGAGAGAAGACTATTCGAATCACATTTTTTTGTCAAAGGGGTGGGGAGGGGGCAAATATAAAACATTTCTGGAAGCAAAATAAGCTGATTTTGAGAATAAAATCGATAGAAAGGGTGCGGGCTGAGGAGGATCACAAGTGGGTTCGAAAATATTTGAAACGTTTAAACCAAATGGAGAAATAAAGCTAGGAGTTTAGAAACAATTAAAAAGAACTACGACACCCTGCAAGTTTCTCGGAGTTCGAGAAAATTATACAAAATCATAAAACGGGGGAAAATGGAAGGGAATCTAAATATAATTTCTTCAAATTGATTACATTTACGGATAAGTTTTCTTTCTTTTGTCTTGAGGTTCAGATTCATTAGCGGGATAATAAACAAGGAGAAACCGACTGAGATGGATGAATTGGGAAAGGGGGGAACAATAAAACATTGGGAAACTGTGGGAAAAGAAAGAAAATATACACATAAGGTTGGAGAGAGAAGGTGGAAGGAGGCGAGAAAAATAACAGGGCTTCCGGGAAGAAGCTTATTAGACATTTGTATCTTTGCCCAGCCGACGGAGACGTACTGAAATTATTAGAATATCATAAAGGATTCAAACTTTGATAACTGATGTCAAGTCCCGGTTGCAGGGACGTTTGAAACGGAATTCCCAAAACTCCGACCGGAATATTTCGAATTTTTTTTGTGAAAAAAAAAAATGAAATCTGAAGTTTGAAAAATTCCAAAATCCCAAAACCGGAATACTCTGAAATTTCGAAACTTTGAAACTCCGAATTTTGAGATGCTGAAGAATTCCGAAAAGGAATTCCGAACATCCCTGCCCTGTTGGTTTATTTTTTTGTTTGTTTCGAGACGAGGTCAGGTGTCACATCTTTCTGAGAGGCATTCCTCGGGGTTTAACGAAAAGATGATAAAAACAGCTGATTTTTTGTGAGGCAAAAAAAACAAACGCAATGAATGACGTCACAGAGAAACTTCTTTCTTTAATAAGTCTTACCTCGTTCATAATTACGCTCCAACGCCTCCGAAACTCGATGCCGAGCTTCCATGGATGCGAATGAAATACCGACTCGGAGAAGGGACTCATTCTCTTCTATCGCCATCATCATATCCATTTCTATCTGATTACCAAGCACAGATTGACGCTGAAAAGTTGACACAATTTAGTGTTTGACCATCTCTCAATTACTACCCCACTCGCATCAACTTGCGCAACTTTTTTGTCTGCTGTTTCGCAGAAAACGTGTGAAAATCTGCGTTGTTAGGTAAACAAATAGAGCAGGAAGAAATATAAAAAAAGGAGAAGATCGAAATAGAACACTATGTTTACATGTTTCTATTAGAGTTTCAGTGTGTTCGAGAATCAAAGAAAAAAATTTACCTGGTTGTCTGCCTTGAATTCCACAATCGACTGTGTCACTAGAGTAGATCGAAGCAATTTGGCAAGAAGTTCAGGAGTCAGGAAATTGGATTCAACGTTAAGAACACGGAGAGATGGAGACGTCTCGATGAGTTCAATCAGCCCCTGCAGTTCGATTTTCAATACAATATTCTGTTACAACAAAACTCACTCTAGCTTCCGAATCTGAGATGGCTGTATTGGCAAGAGAGAACTTTTCAATGTGTTTACTGTTGCATGCAGCTTCAATAAGTGTCCGAATTCGTTCCTAAAACAGAAAACACTTTTTAAAATGCTGAAATTAAAAAATACCAACCTTAGATAATCGTTTCATATTGTTGATATTCACTTCCTTCAAATCTGTGTCATCTTCTCGTAGCCGGCTAAAAACGAGTAATTTTTATGAACCATTTCAGGTATTACAACACTAACTTTATACATGATTCCACATCGGTATCGTTATCTGGCTCATCAGGAACAATTCGGGGAACATATGACTGAATGATTCCGTTAAACGTCGTTCCGGTTGTTTCATCCTGTGTTTTGCCCTTCAGTGCATTATAGTATTGTGGCTGATTTAAGACATTGTGCATGCCTAAAAATAATAAAAAAATAAGATAGATCAGTTGGCTAGTTAACAAAACTTACCTAAAATTCCAGCTAAATCAACAAGATCCTTTTCAGGTGCCGAGACAAGAGCGCATTCCAACTCCTCCTCGTCATCATCCAGATCAATTTCAATGGGCATTTCCATTTTTCCAACCTCTGGTTCTTCAGAATTCCTGCCACTATCACTATCGTACACCTTTCCTCGTTTCACTCCAGGTGTATACGGGCATACGTCATCCCAATCCTTTTCCGTTTTTGCTTTTTCCTCTAAAAACTTCAAAAGATTGTCTCTTTTGTATGGTCCTGTCGGTTCTTTATCCGTTTGATCACGGCAACGCTGTGAAGGGGGAAGCATGGAATTCTGAAACATTGCGATTTTTAGGTTTTTTCGTTCTTCGATAGTCTCCTCGCCCCAATCTTTCTGGTGCTTTTTGGTCGTTTTCTTGTGTTAACCATTCCACTTTTTTGCCCTCCTAGCAATTGGACAAAGTTCTCGTTACCTTCATTTTTTCCAAACGATTCTACCCAAACAATGTGCCCTTCTCCCTACTTTTTCTTCCCGTTCTAACCAAAGTTAAACATCTCCCCCATCAATGTGAGGGTGGTCTTTTCCTCATGGTTTCCGCAAATAAAATTGTGTATGTGTGTTTGTAGGTGTATCTCACTTTATGTATGTACAAGTGTAGGAGATTGAAGGAGGCAAAAAAAGAGAAATAAATTTCCGATTGAGTTTTTTGTTCGATTCCAGCTGAAATCATGAGGCATGATACACAATGTGTGGTGCATGTGATTGGCAATAAAAGAGCAAATGAAGGAACTAAAGCTTCGATCAGATATTATACTCTAGTTGAAGAAAATCCTAGCAGTAGTAAAATTTAAATGATTTATAGAAGCTTTTCCCCCTAAACTCATCTCCCGCTTCCATTAGGTTTCCCCCAAGTTTTTAATGCCGTCAATTTTCATCATCCATGCCGTCTCTCAGGCGGAGAGAGGAGAGGAACAACATTGATTGAAAGGTCTTTTCCTAACATCTTTAACTCCTAGACAGTTAGAGAAGCAGAGAAACGGATCTCAGGCGGTACATCCCGCTCTCGGTCTCTCTTCTGAGATCCAGTGAGAGTGTCTTGAAATAGTGTTGAGATCAGAGAAACGGTGAGACGGCATACTCCCGAGAATCGAGTGGAAATGGTGAGGATAGACCTAGAGAAACAGTCGAAGCTGGATATAAAGGAGTGCGGTATATGTGGACACTGGGCTCATGTGATAGATGAAGGAAGCATTCATCAAACATTTAATTATCGATTGATAAAAAATGTATCTGTTCACTCAAAGAAAAACCAAACCAGTATATTTTCGGTCTAGAATTAAGACAGCCAAAGATGCCAATATTACTGATGATCGAGATTGGATTTAATTGATTGGAACGGTCGACCACCGCCAATTTGGAGTTCCACTAATATTTTCGTCAAACTTCTCAAGAAAAAAATATTAGCGCGAACTCGAAAATAAAGTTTTCCAGATTTTCAAAAATCTGACTTCCCAAAACTGTGAAATCATATCCAGACCAACTAGCAATGAGCAGCGCATTGTTCTTTTCTAAACAGAAAACCTAATTCTACCCCTCAGCCGGTTCTATAAGGCTATATTATTTTCTTAATAATTCAATTGATACCACACACACCCCTTCTTTACTTTTCAAGTACTCTTCTCAACGCTTACTAACTGAATGAGTGACAAATGACTACACAAGCGAAGCTCTCAAAAACCTGCTTTTTTTGTATTTCCATCTAGGGAATTTTTTTTTGAGACCAAATATTTATCAACAAAAGCGAAAATACTTACATCCGGATCGAAATCATTGTTGAGATCTTCCAACTCGTCGATGGATAGTTTCGAGAGAAGACCCTCAATGTCATTGTCCTCCAAATCCTGAATCATTTTCAGAGCTCTTAATTTTACATGGTTTATTCTGAAAATCTTACTTTCAATCCTTTGTTGTAGACTTTTGATGGTAGCTGATTGCCTTGTTGAGTATTTGCTGATGGTGCTGAGAATGTTTTCTCTTCCGAGTAGTAACTGCAAAAAATAACTTTTTTACAACGACATCAACTTTTTTATATACGGTTGTGACATTAATTTTGTTTCGAAATGCAAAGAAAAACATTTTTTTCTTGATTTTTGACTAAAATAGTATAACTTTACTGTGGTTTATTACCTATGATAAATTCTAGATCTTGGGAACATTGGTGGGGGTGGTTGAGATGCGGGCGTTTCCATTTTTTAGAATTTCAGCTTCAATTCTTACTGATTGAATGCAATGAAGAATTTGAGAAAAATGATGGGGAGGGCGCAGCTGACTGAGAATGGAAAAGTGTCCCGTGTGCGCACTTGAGTCAGAGAGTACGCTGAGTATGGAGAGTGCAGAGAGACAGTGAAACAACCAAAAAGAGGCGTTTCATATCTCGGTGTCTCTCACACTGACAGTTCGTCCCTCGTCGGTTAAATCTCTATGTCTCTGGTTTTCGGTTGTTATTTGTCTTTTTGTGTGCTCTTCTGACCGAATTGAAGAAAATAAGTGTAAATATAAGCTATTATCAAAGTATGGGATGGGAGTTTTTTCTATGTAGGTTAGGACAGTAAGAGAAGACGTCTTTGAAATTTGCTCAAAAGATTGGCCAATGTTGACTGACCGATTGGATGACAGTTTTATTAAAATGTAAAAGAACAGAGGAACTCCAAGAATTTGCTTTAGAGCTTCAGAAGCGAATGGCAAGAGTTCTAGGAAAGTGATGTTTTCAAACAAATCGGAATCATAAACAACAGTTATGTCATCGGCCTTCCTAAAATTCGGTTTCTTTTGCTAAAAATTCGGTTTCTTTTGCTGATATTATGCTGGTTCAATAAATCTGAGTTGTGGACGAGAAAGGCTGGTGGCTGTGGCCAAAGGCCCTACAACAACAACTACGGTAACTGAGAAACTTTCATTTGAAGGACTTATTTTAGTTTTTACTGACTTTGGCCTTTTTTTGCTATTCCAGAGAAAAATGCACATGAAATTTTTTCGGCAGTGAAATAATTGCCCGAACGAAAACAAACGAAAAACGAGAAATTAAATTTGAAATTAAAAGATTTTTAGCTACCGTATTTGTCGTTTTGGGACCTTCGGTCTCGACCGTGGGCGTTTCTCTTCCACAGCTTTGTTTTTTTGTACTAATAATAATGTGTTTCTCATCAAACCAAAACGATTGATGAAATTACCAACCCTTCTTTCCCATATCATTTTTCAAGTCCTTCATTTTATTCTCGCATTTTTTGAGTTCTTATCAACAAATCCATGTTAGCTTCAAAATATGATTTGTTTCGTATTCCAAATCTATTTTCGAAAAAGTTCGGGTTGTGATAATATTACGGGACAGCAACCCTCTTCCTTTGAAAATTGAGTAGGGTCAGCTGTCCGGGGCACTCACACACAGATACTCACAAAAGAAAAGTTGAAGTGAGAAAAAGAGACTCTCAGTAGATGGGGAGGAAGCCTAATCCTATCACATTCCTACTGCTTCTTCTTCTTCGTTTTTTCTCGTGAAAAGATCCCAAAATGACGGAAGAGAAAAGACGATGTATGTTATAAGATTGTGTGAAAAGTGAACTTGAACTTTTCGGACATTGTCCCTCGAGGTCATGAGTTTCGATTACAATTTCTACAGTTGAAGCAGAGAACGAATTTTGGAAAAGCGTACAATGGGATCCGAAACTGAACTGAACTTTGCTAAAATATTTCGGAAATTGAATTTAGTTAGAAATTACCATTTTACCGAGCCTAGTCTTTTTCACAGATAAAAAATTTCACCAATTTCGAACGTTAGCCATTCGATTTCAGCACTTTTTCAGTGAATACCACTTTTTTTCAGTTTAGAAAAAAAAAACTTACTCGGTTTTCGCCTGACTCATCGCTACTGGTGGTGGAACAACAACCGGCGACGGTGGTTCGCGAGGCGTCAAGCCGAGACGAGGTGCTCCAACTGCAGACGTCAGTGTGATTAGTGTTGGCGAGTTTCAGCGACTGAAACTCTTCGTTTGTCAATAAGAATCTCCCGAAACGGGGCTAGTAGTTGAATAATTAGGATTTTAGAATAGCAAAAAATAATCCAGATCACCGAAACAAATTAGTTGAGTAATTAGATTGAGCCCGTTCTTTTAAAGTTTTTAGTAACAAAAAGAAGACAAAGTTGAGTTGTGATATATTCCGCTCTCAAGATGTGTCGTGAGCCAGGCGAGTATATCGAGAAAAGAGAAAGAAGAGAAAAGAAAGAATCGACCGAGGGAGCCTCCAGAAAACAAGAGGAAGAAGAAGAAGAAGAAGGTCCGTTGGGTGAGACAGAAACACTATTAGTACTGAAGAGACGACCACGAACTTTCTCTGCGTCTATGTGCCACGTGTCGTCACCTGTTCTGGACAGCGATGGATAAAAAGCCTCTCTGATTCGTCAAAATTCATTGGACATTCATTCAGGAGATCCCCGCTTGTAAGAGAAGTCACAAGGAACGCTCAGGTTGTCCTTCTTGTTTTCAAAAGATTAACTTTAGAGAAAGTTTGTTTTCAAGCTTTGGCGCAGATCGTTGAATCTTATAATTGTACTTCGATGTAGACGTTGATACTAGTGGACCTTGGTTGACTTGGATTTGGATGTTTATCTTGCCTATATTTCAGTGTAATCATATTTTTAACTACAAAAGAATTCGAAACCAAAGGCTATTCGATATGATTTCTTGGTTGAAAACCCTCTACTTTCAGAAAAAGATATGTTCCAGACAATACAGTAGACTACGGGTAGATGACCTTCTTAATTCCTATATCATGAATGTTATTTCCTTGTCAGCTCAGTTCCATTATCAGAGACCAAAGTTCATGAATCTCCTACATAAGTTCCTACAGACTAATGATGTTCAATGAAACTTTTTCGTTTGAGTTGAAAACGAAGAAATCATTTAGTTACTGTCAAACTCCAATCATACATGGCCAGCATTGGTGTAATTAAGCTCCGAAAAACAACTTTTTCTGTGTTAGTTTACTTGCTCGGCAAGCGATACCATTAGATATTGAGCCGTGTAAGAGCCTTCAAAAAATCTGCCGAGGTGCCTTCCACCACAGGACACCAAGTAACCCATATATGCCTCCAATAGAACATCAACGCTAGCTATTAACTTCGAGCCTATTCATTTCGGTTCCTGCGAAAGATATCGAAAAGGGGTTAAACGACCGAGATATATGAGCTCAAATTTGACGGTTTCGGGGGAGTTCTATTGGAGTGTTTACGGTATTTATGGGTTCATCTGAACCGAAAAAATTGAGCTTATGTGAAATTATCGAAGTAAAATGCTGAACTGTTTTCACCTTGACAGACAGAGAGTTGAGAATAATTGAGACATACATGAGAGAATTCGGGAAATTTGAAATTTGATCTATAACGTCATTATGCAAACTGAATAAAGAAAACCAATTTTCGCGACTTCAAACGTAATCTGTACGTATTGTTATTTCCCAAAAAAGTGTACGAATCAAGAGAACTAACAATTAACGGGAAAAAAAACAAATTTCCTGAAATGCGGAGAAGAAACTGAACAGTATAGAAACGTTATACAATAATGCTTGGTGGATACATTCATGGAACTTTGCGAGCAATTCAGCAAAAACCTAATATTTTCCTTATTGGTTCCCATTTGAATACGAGAAAAGGCAAGCCATTGAATACGAGAAAAAGCACCAGTGAAATAATGTTTTCTAATTTCTTTCTAACTGTCAATAAACCCATTAGAAATATGTAGTTTTATGTTGAATGACCAATGCAAATAATAAAAAAAACGAGAAGTTGTTTACAGTACATTCACGAAAGCTTAATATCTTTAGTTCCAAATATTTAGGAACACTCAGGTAAGGTAAATAATTTAGAATTCCTGTTTCACTTGTATGAATGGGTCGATATGTTTCCCTTAATGATAGTAATAGCATGAATGAATCAGCCATGGCACCAATTTAATTTAATTTGTTTATTGATCAGGTGTAATAAAACATTAGAGGGGTAGACATGAAAGACTCAGAAAAATGCCCCTCACGAGGCCGATCTGAGTAGGGGAGGGAAAACGGGATAATTTAGATATTTGTAAACTACTTGTAGGGTCTATGCCCTAATATATTTTGCTTTGCTTTTCTTCAAAAGTTTGTTGTTTTCTTCCTATCTGTTTTTTTCTCATGTCACCAGTTCAAAGACAGCTGTTCTTCAGGCGCTCTCGAAAAAAGGAAAAGATATGGGGTTGATAAAAATGACTGGTTTCTCAAAAATATTGATTCGAAACCCAAACTTCGGTTGAAAAGTCGGAAAGACAAGTAGTACAGGGAAACTGGGAATATCAAGCTCGATAATCAGTACCAAGGCAGTTCAGAGAGAATTGAGCTTAAAATAACTCGTAGAAGAGTAGAGTAGAACTTTCAGAAGAAGTAACGAAAAAATATAAAATTAGTTGAAAATCCACAAACGCGAGGCAAATCACAGCAACGAAACAACAAAAACTTCAAGCGATTCCAAGAAAAACGCATGCAACGTATCAAATTACAGTAATCGTGCCGAAACAAATTAAACAATAAAGGGACATGCGCCTTTGAAGCAACATAGCAATCCGAAAACTCACTCCGTTTTCTTGTTTCGACGAAACCAAGCAAAACGAATCGCAAAAAGAATTCGAGTCGACAAGCGAATTAGGTGATCACCATCTTTCTCTCGGTGGCAACTGTTGCAATTTACAGAAAAAAAAGGAAAAGTCGATCGATAAGCGAAGAAAAAAGACTGAAAAAGGGTTCGAAAAACGCAAGGAACAAGAAGAAGAGAAAAAAAGAAAAATAGTGTAAAAACGATAAAAGAAAGTGATTTTATGAGTGGGTTTTCTTCAAGCTTTCTTAGAAGTTTTTAAACTTAACAACGAATTCTGAAAAGTTCGCAAAGCTGGAGCATGAAAATGTGACGCCACCCAAAACTTCTTAATTGGGACGACCCCCTGAATTATTTTCAAATATCTGCCCGGTGGTTCGGAAAAGAAAAGAAGAGAGAGAGTGAAAAATGATGGCAGTGATCGGAAATCAGTCGGAAATAGTGGGCGGGAAAGAGCAGAAAATAGAGAAGCAGAGAGAAGATGAGAATGTTGTCACACGGCACAGACAGACGATGAAGAAGAATAAGAAGTAGAAGTAGATGCTCGTTGAGCAACACAAACAGCTTTCAGTCAACGAAAAGTTAAAGGTTGAAAGGCTGAAATTCAGATATCGGCTCAGTTTTTTTGTTGATTCTCGACAAAATAGATGTGAAAAAGATTAATACTTTCAAATTTTCGATTTATGTTTAAAAAATATTGGACAAGAAAAAAAAAATCGGGAACCTTCATTGAGCATAAATGCCAACGAATCAAAAGCAATAAAATCGACGAATCAGTAAAGTAATTAAATTCAACACAGCCGAGAAAAGAAAGGATTTGGACGCGGTTTACAATTGGTATAGCTACGCCCGAAAAAGTAATAAAATTAAAAAATAAACCTCATTTAACAGGATGCAAGCTTGTTATGGAACGTTTGGGAAAATGAATAAGGGCAGAAATACCTAAAAGGGGTGGGGGGGGGGGGGTCGATTCATAATTCACAGGAGAAATGGCTGCATGCGGAAAAGTGGAACATATTTGAAAAGAAATTTGTCAAAAATAATTAAACAAAAAGGAAAGAAAAGTATTCGGCTATTCAGAAACAAGGGAAAATATAGGAAAAAAGAAATACTGAAAATTTGTGTTAAAATATGAACGGGTGGATGGTTTATTTTTAATGTGAGTGAATCTGGGGTCCGGAATCTTATTCAATCGTCATCTGCTTCATCTATTTCGTCGAGAACCTGACGGCGTTGGAAGATTCTTTGGAGACGGCGTTCGCGCTGAAATTAATGTTTTTTTGGAAACCGCATCTGAACTTTTCACAAACTTTACGATGTCTCTCCATTTTCTGGCGCAATCTTTCTGCTTTTGTATCTTCAGAATCATCAGAATATTCACCATCGGACGAAAATTCTGATGCTGACGAACAAATGGACTCTCGGCTAGTATGTTGCTGAATCGGATCTATACGCGGAGGAATGGGAGGACGACGACTCGGTGGGTTCAGTCCGGTATCCATGTAAGCAGCTGCCGTCAACTGATAACAATACTCGATAAACAAGTGAGGTTCCATACATTTTGCGTTAGCCATGAATTCGTGTGGTGCAGGTAGTGGGAGATCGGCCGGAACGAGTCTATTGGATTTCTTCGCGTCCATCCTCCGTCGAACATGATCCATGGCTTCCATTTGGAATGGATGAATATTGCCAATACGTTGGAACGAATTTGCTCTCTGCGCGCGACTTGCTCCGATGATTGTTACTGTAAGAGGAGGCGGGTGACATCGAGGTGGTCCGAAGCATCTTCTTGTCACAACTTCGTGACGCCATTGAATCAACTCATTGTACCACTGAATCATATTCTGCCGTTCCATCAGGTCATCGGCGCATACTCCGTTTCGAAATATAATACACTGCGCTTCATCTGGACATCTGAAAACCAATTTACATCACTAAAGAAACGCTTACTAAAGAAACTCACATATGTCTGCTCGTTTTCTCAGCCGTCCTGCTTGTTGTACAAATCGATGATTGCTCATCATCTGTAGTTTCAGAATCTAATCGAGTGGTTTCCGAGAAAGTCCTGTTTGATTCTGAAAGACTTTTTGGTGTGTCCAAAAGGGAAGGACGGTTTGAAGAATCAGGAGAGGTAGATGTTATTTCTGTATCCGATACGCAAATCGACGTGGTTGTGAATGTCTTCGCTGATGTCTTTGGGTGTAATTCGAGAAGTGTAATATCACTAGTGATGTTCGCGAACGAAGAACTTGAAGATGTCGGGGGTGGAGTGGAAACTTCTAGTTTATCAAACAAGCGTTTCACTGTCATTTCCTCTTCGAGCGATTTGGGACTAGTTGGAGCAAACCGGGAAATCGGTGAGAACGGGGGACGACGAGATCCTCTTCGATGCGGCGACTGAGGAAAGAAAGCAGATCTTCCCGGTGGGATCGTCGGGGTGCTGGGGAGGGATATTGGAGGAATTGGTGTCTGTTTTGCCGACGAATACTGATGATGAAAGTGTGTATACGAAGGATACATTGGTTTGTCTAAAAATATTTCGAAAATAGAAGAACACCACTTGGACACCAACTTGGAACCGGTTGAGGCATATGATTGCTTCTGTCGATCCATTTCTTTGAAAATTTAGACCCTCCTCCGAACTGTGCTTTCGAACCCGCTGGTTCTCCTCGGAGAACAAGAATCGGCTTTCCACGGAGACTATTCATCTGGAACTAGAAGGAGTTGACACAAAAAAATACTGATTTAAAATACAATAAACATACCTGTACTCGTTTGCTTTTATCGTACCCATAGAGAGACGTTTGCACTGTATTGGGACTCTCCATGAAATTGGGAGGAGGCATGTCTGTAACAAAGCAATGCAAATAAAAGGTAAAAGTTCGTAGAATTGCAAAATCACTTGTGAAAACAATGAAAATTAGGTACAAACTTACTACTTGGCGCCAAATTTTAGGAATTTATTTCGTGAAGAGATATCACGAAAACATTTTTACATGCGCCTTTAATGGGAAATACGGTATTTAACTTTCGTAAAAAGTGTTTCATGAAACACTCTTAAGAATGAAATGTTAAAAAGTCAGAAAATCTAAAGAGACACTTATCGTCATGGGAAGCCAATATATAATAATTATACAAAAAACACCTAAAAAATTGTTCAGAATTGTTACAGGTTGCTACGGGCAGGAGGAAAATCTTCGGACAGACCTGGATTTCAACGATTTAAATCGCGATTTCACCGATCCATTTTTTTTTGAAAAGTTGTTAACCAAACAACCGATTTCATTGTGAAATTCCTCAGGAGTGTCATAACACAAATGACTGAAAATCATACTTGCAAAATCAGGGCCCGGAATTTTTCGAAAGTTGAGATCGAAGAAAAAATTGTTTTTTAAAGCAAAATAACAGTTTTTTTTTCAAAAACTAGTTTTTTGTTAAAAAATTCTCAAAAATTTATCAAAAAAAATTTTTTTGAGAAATTTCGACCAAAAAAAATACCTGTCCGGGCCTTCCGGGCCGGGGCGGGCCCTCCAAATTTTTTAAGGCCGAGCCGGGCCTTCAACGATTTTTGCAAAAAAAAAAAATTTTCCGAAAATCCGGGCCGAGACGGGCCGGGCCGGACTCTGAAAATTCTGAAAAAAGCCCGGCCCGGCTCCGTTGCAAGTATGCTAAAAATAAAAAGTATTACTGTAGGGAAAACTGGGAATTGAAAAGGATCACTGTAGGGATACAATTTGAAAATGAAAAGGATTACGCAGCGTTCGTGATCAAATTGAGAACCCTGCATTCGATTTGGATGAGTTCTCGAGGATCTTCATGCTGGAATTGAAGATGTCTTGAATAAACAAACCATTGTAATGAAAATTAGAATAAGAATTTTGAGTTCTCCCAAAATCTCCTAGAATCTCCTCCACATCCCGAATTTCTCTAGAATTTAGTAGATTTTTTGAAAAATCATTATTCTCTTTCTGGATTCTTAACTCTTACCTAGAGCTCCGACGGCTATAGAATCAACCTAATTGCGCGTCTGATCCCACCTGGTTTAAGATGTGGAGGATATTCTAGGAGAACTCAAAATTCATAATCTGAACTTCATGACACGCTAGAACACAGCTAAACCTTTGACATACTGTAATTACAGTATGCCATAGCCGTCGGGGCTCTAGGTAAGAGTCAAGAATCCAGAAAGTGAATAATGATTTCTCAAAAAATATACTAAATTCTAGAGAAATTTTGGATGTGGAGGATATTCTAGGAGAACTCAAAATTCATAATCTGAACTTCATGACACGCTAGAACACAGCTGAACCTTTGACATACTGAAATTACAGTATGCCATAGCCGTCGGGGCTCTAGGTAAGAGTCAAGAATCCAGAAAGTGAATAATGATTTCTCAAAAAATATACTAAATTCTAGAGAAATTTTGGATGTGGAGGATATTCTAAGAGAACTCAAAATTTATTCCACCAACATGCGATCCGTATGAACCATCCGACTTCCGACCTTCAGGAACCACGTGGCATAGTGCCATTATCCACTCTGAAATATTCCATGAGATTTGAGATGAAGAACCAATTCGTTTTACCGGTTGGGCACACGATCTCCAGTCTCGATAAAGTTGATATCCAATCGCGCCACGTGGAATCTTGCCATGTCATGTCTTCATCCAATCTAAAAATTGTGTTGAGATCTGAGTCGGATAAGCGTTTTGTATTACCAGTTGTACTCCCAGAATAGCTTGTCGCTCGTCATCGATGGTCCATCCTTCGGAGTTCCAGCGAAGGGCAGTCCTCCCCGCGAAGGCAGGAGAGGAGAGACGAGGAGTTGCTTATCTGAGAGTTGAAGTTGAGACTGATTGTCTTTGGATCCACGAGACTGTTGAAAGAGAGGGAGGGGGGGGGGGGGTAGGCCAGTGGAGCATGCTATGGGGTCAAAATCAGTCCGTGTCGGGTCGACACGCGGATAAAATCGTATTCAGTGGAATATTTGATAAGAAATATGGGTGAACAGCCGGGAGAATAGTCGACGTGAGGACAAAAACTGTGAAAAATGATATATCCGGGTCATTAAAATAGTTTCTTCATCTGCCTAAAAATGGAAACGTCTGAAATAATAGAAACCAGTCGATTTCCGCCGCCTGTCGGCGGCTACAATGTCCTGGTCTCACTTAAAACGTTTGAATCTCAAAACCGGAAAGAAATAGAAGATGAAGTTAGTTGATTGTTTTTAACTTTCATAAACTTGAAAATTAGAAGTTCCAAAAGTCAGAAAGTCAAATACTGAATTTTGGAAGTTTGGGAAACTGAGAATATAAAAGTTCGAAAACTCAGAATCTGAACTATAATGAAGTTTCAAATTCTGATGTTTGGAAATTTGGAATTGAGAAATTGAGAAATTGTCAACTTCCTAAAACTCGGATATCCGAATTTCCAAGTTTTTCCCAGAAAAATTTCAAAGTTTTTATTTTATTTTCTGAAAATTCTTTGATTTCTGAATTTTTAAGACTTCTGGAATTTCTAAATTTCAGACGTTCGGAAATTCAGACTTTCAAAAATTTAAAAGTTCAGAAATTTAGCTACTCCGAACTTAGGGAAAAGTTCAAGTGCTGAAACTGAAGATTCTGAAATTCCCTGATTCTATAAAGCTAAAATGCTGCAGTTTGGATTTTGAAAGGCTCGAAATTACGAAATTCTCAAATCCCTAACTCGGAAATTTTTGTATTTCGGATTTCCGAATTTTCGGATCTCCCATTTTTTTGATCTTCAGGAATTTCTGGATTTTAGATCTCGAACTTCTTGAATGTCTCAATTCAACAAATTTCAAGATTTCAGTATTTCCGAATTTTAACGTTTGAGACTTTTTCAAGTTCCAATTTTTGAGCTTTCAGAATCTGAATTTTAGAGATTTCAGATTACAGATTCTGTTTTAGATTTCAAATTACAGATTCTTTTCTCTGATGAAGCCGTTAAAACTCTGAACTCGAATTTCAAAGATTCCGACTTCTATACACAGTGTCCCACATACATAGATACTGAATTCTGGATTTTTTTTTACTTGTCCAGAAAACTTTTAGTTCATATTCTCGAGTTTTAGCCTATCATGAAGGTTAGAATGTGAATTATGAATTCTCCTAGAATCTCCTCCACTTCCAGTACGTCAAAGGTTTAGCTGGTTCTAGCGTGAAGTGCTCCCTGGCTGTAGAAAAAATCCGAAAAAATTGGACTCCTCTGATATCAATAATACGCAAAAAAATCGCTCAAAATAGAGAAGTTTTGGTTTTATTTAAAGTTTGCAAATTAGTCAGCTCTCCGGACATTTTCCCTTGAGACTATGTATCATCTGAATCAATGCATCCCGTACAAAAGAAAATCAGGAAAACTTTATTTTCAAGCCCCCCCCCCCCCCATCATTTTCCGGTAGACAAATGATAAGAATGGTTTGAAAAAGTTAAACATCTTATAGGATCTCAAGATTACTGTAGTTCCAAAAGGGTTTTATGAAGTCTAGAAATTCAACGCGTTATATTACAAAACTAAGAATCTTATTATGTTAGATCAGCGAAATACGTGTCCTTCAAAGTTATATATGACAAGTCGGCTGATAAGATCATTTGGTCAACTGCCTGAAAATCACTAATGTACAATTTTATTTCATAAGATAATAGCAAGAAAAACGCAGGATATTATGGAAAACCGTTCATGTTTGTTTTTCTATTTCTATCTGTTCTTATTCTTCTTATAAAGATTTTGCAACCCTAGTCATTCACTGGTTCTCGGTTCAGTTGCTCAGTATGATATTTTTTTTTTGCGTGAGTTTTTATGGGGTGAATTGTGAGTATTGTCGAATTACTGTAGGCCAAGAAGAAGCAAGACCGGCCCCTGAATCAAACTCCATCGCAAATCAAAGCCAATATCGGGCAGCCAGCTGGAGAACCAAAACCGGCTACAAATCAAACGACACCTGCAAAAAATGAAACTCCGAATAAGGATGATGACGATGGTCAGTATTCTGGAATCATTCTAGTTTTTATTTAATTTTTAGATGATGTAAAGTTCAACATTAATATCAAGAAGCCAGAAGAAAAGAAAGATGAATTTGATGATGATGAAGAAAATCCATTAGCAAAAATCACAATGAAACCAAGAAATAAGAATGGTCCGGGAAAGAAGGTAGCTGCGGGTGGACAACCAAAACCAGCTGAGAAGAATCCCGGAAAAGCAATGAAAACCAAAGAAGAAGTTGGTCCGGAACGCCCATTTTTGGCACCCAATGAGAAGCAATACGGGGTTTCGTGCTATGTACGATATTCTGAATTTTAAAGGTCCTGAATAAAAATAAAATTTTCAGCAATTTGAACCATCTCAACAACAAGCCGCCGCCGCCGCAGCCCCTCCAAAAAAAGTTCCAATGCAAAAGTCAACTGATGGACCTCGTACTGCAGCCACACGTACAATTGCAACGGCCCCAACACAACACACTGCTCCATCAGCTGCTCCTTCGGCTACTCTTCTAAGTGCTACCACTCCAATTCCACAAGTTTCGATTATCCCGATAGCAGATACAAACACAAAGAGTACTATAAGCCTGACGGGTAAAAATAAACCGAAAACTGTTGAACAGTGAGTTTTCAAAGAGATTGGAGTATATCATTTAAATTCAACTATTTTCAGAGAACGTACCAACAACGATAACGCAGTTGAGAAAACCCAAAAAGATGGTGGTGATGGCAACTAGTTGGATAACAATTTTTTTTTTAACCTCGAAAAATCATTTCAAAAATAAATTTGACTTTGTTTTGATTTGAAAAATTATTTCTTCGAATTTTTTCCGAATTATGAAGCATCTGATAATTATTATGATGATAATCGTATCCTTCTCGTCTTCTGACACAACATCTTCAGAAGCACCATATTCTGCCACATCTCCCATACTTACGTCTACTGGCCAGCCAACGTCGTCATCTTCGATATCTACAATTTCCTGTGGCTCCCCAGACAAAAGCGATGAAATTGTAGATGTCACTTTCAGTCCGAATCGGACATTTTTCTTCAACGCTCCATTTGACATAAACTACATGACGTTCTTTAAAGTTCGCCATCCTGAATACCGGCGAATCGCTTATCGAGTCAGCTTGGAAAAATCCGAAAAATCGACGATTGTGTTACCAGAATCAAATGGTATGATGGAAGAAAAGGATTGGGATGGAAATGTGAAAATTGGATACACAGAATTTGAGTTTGATAAATTGGTGAGGTATTGAGTTGTTACTCATAATTGAACTCTTTCCTTTTTAAGAACTTCAAAAATGATTCCATCACAATCGAATGGGTGAATATTCCAAAAGAAGCTCAACGAGAAGCTGGTTTCGAATGTTTTGCAGTTTGGTTTGGAGAAGAAGTTACACCGAAAAATCATACTCTCAAAGTTCAATATAATTCATGATTTTGGATAAAGTCTTTATTTATTTATTTACAGACAATTATAAATTATCAACAACCCATTTTTATAATTTCGAATTCCCTCCGTTTCTAAATTTTTCCACTTTTTGTAAAAACTCTTCCATTCGTTCGAGATACAATTTTGGATGTTTTTTGAAATGTTCGACATGTGCACTATCCTTCAAACGAGTTATCACAACTTCTCTCCGCTTGTCGGATCTTTTCGAAGCCAGCTGATTGAATGAATTGATTTCACTGAAAAAGAGAATAAGGCTGATAAAGAGTTGGGTTACTGTATACTCACTCTGCTGAGCAAACAATGTCCGCATCAGAGAAAACGGAATATATGATTGGTGGAAGATGTGGATTATTCAATAGATAAAAGAATGGATTCGCATCCTCCATAGAGCAAATGCCGGCTATTATCATAAGTTCATCCTGAAATATTTCTTTCTTTTTATTTTTCGAGAACCTATGAATCTAATACCAAAAGAAGACGAGATCCGAATCGAGTTGTCTCCCATTTTTTATACATCCAATAGAAATTTCCGACGAGGAAATTGGAATTCTTGATCTGTAATCTACTTCTAAGTACTTCTTTTTTTTGGATGGAAACCTACCAAACCATCATAAACATGATTCATGACAAGCGAGTGTTTGTACATATTATCGAACGAGAATGCAAAACACGCCGGACAAGAATCCAAAAATAAACCATCACATTTCTCAAACGCCTTCAACTCTGGATACTGTGAATCAAGTGAAGTGAGTGTCAAGAATCCATTCATTGAGAAGACGTGGAAAATCAATCGATTTGATGGATTGATCAAGACCGAATCTAGGGTTTGTGCTAGATTCTCCACTTCTCGTCCTTCCTGAAAAAGAAAATCCTGTCAACAATTACTTCAAGAAAGGAAAGTTAGAACTCCATAGTTGGTAATCGTAGTATCAGTGAAAAAAAAAACACTTTGGAAACTGATAAGGTGGATTCTGTTTCAACGAAATATATGTGAGTTTATCGAAGTGATCATTGTTTTTGTGAACTACAGTATGGTATACAGAGTGCGGCAGACTTACTTGTGCATAAACAAGTCGTCCTAACTTTCTTCTAAATAATCGGAAAATTTTGAAACTTTGCAGGTACATTATTCCACTGTTGCTGTGTTCAAGTTTACTCTTTTCTTTCTTTCCTAATGAAAAATTCTATGGATGCACAGTTTTCAATCTAGGTCTGTTTAACATCCTCCAAAATGTTCAAAGTGTGGAAGCCTGACAGACGACCTCCAGACGTTTGAAACTGGTCAAAATGGCCGAAAATCAACCGAAACATATGTTTTTGCAAATCCACCCATTTACAGACCTAGTTACAATGATCCCAAGACTCAAGTCTACACTTAATTGAATTCTGGTTAACCTATTTTTATAGAAACACAAAGGACAACATTCAACTACCGTACCTTAGTTCCCCATCCTTTTGCCGCTGCATGTGCTGTGTATTGAATCGTCGTGTATCTTGAAAATTTTGGTAAACGGACAGTACCTAATATAATATGTTTTTACCCTTTCTTTTGATAAATTCCTGCATACTTTGCGACGTTTTTATCTGCGGCTCCTGCCCATCCAAGCAATGCCACTACCGTATCCTTCTTTCCATAAGTCACTATAGATTTTGGGTTCTGCATCAGGAATCTTGCTGAAAAAAGGGCATTTGAAAACGAAAAATGAAAATTAATTCTATAAAGAACTAGGAACTAGGGAAACACCGTCGGGTAGGAAAACTCTCGAATGATATTATAAAGAATGAGACTCAACCCCCGATTATCAGTATAGACAGTCGGAGAGGTAAAAGTGGTAATAGTATACCGTTGTAGTTTTGTGATAACGAAGAAAGAAAAAAGCTGAATCGGGGAATCGAACATAGAATATAATTGCCTCCGATTAATCGGGGTATTAAGGTCCAGACACACAATACAAAGAAAAACACGGTTTTAGACATGGAGAATGAAAGAGACATGGAGAATGAAAGAAATGCAAAGTTGTCAGACTGGAGTGAATTGTGCTCTGATGCTCGAATTATTGACATTATCTTGACAGTCGTATAGTAGACGAAGCCCAACCAGGAAATAAAATTTTGAAAGTTCTATTGATAATGTATTTGAGAAGAACTGAATAGTGTTTCCAAATGCTACATTTTTTGTTGAGCGGAGAGTGACAGTTTATAACTACAGTAATCCTTCACCGTAAGAGCTGTGAAGGATCCCCTCACTTTTTACTTTGAGGCAATTTATCTCGATCCCTGTTAAAGATATAAAAAAGTTGTCAACTGATAAATTGTTTATCATAATATCACAAATATTTTCTCAGATGACTTATTTTTGATATCTCTTATGACAGCCGAGAAAATTGACCTCAAACTGGTTCTACGGTAAGTTTTCATGGAAATACCGAGATTCGGTTGTTATTCTGGTACAAAAATCGGAGCTGAGACCGCTGCCGAAGGTCTCACAATGGCAACTACCGTAACCTAACAATATTTTCATTTCCCGGAATTTTTTTTTTCGTTTTCGCTGCTTTTTCGTCAAGATGTTTTTTGCCTTTTCCCACAAGTCGGGAAATATATGTTTGATTGTGAAAAAAATTGTCTGGAAACACATGAAAATCGAGATATGAAATCCGGAAATTAAACATGTTTTCAGGTTACTGTAGTTGTCGTTGTGGGACCTACGGCACAACTCCGATTTTTTTACCAGAATAATACACTCAAAGGTAAATAAAAAACATACCAAAACTGCGTCTAATCATTTTTAAAACTGGGCGCTCACTCCGTAGTGTTCTCTTTCTTATCAAGTGTCCTTTCTGTGTCACCACTGCTGAGGATATCGATTCAAAAAGACCACGTTGTAGTCACATCCACGCTTCTCGCGGATTTTCCTCTGGGAAACCTAAATCAATCAACCAGTGAATAAACGAAATAAAAAATTTATTGATACACAAACACCCGAGACAACTGAAACTGTCATATTTTTGAAGAATCATAACTGTGAAGATGAAGGTGTCACTCATTGGAACGTCGCTTCTATGTGCCGAACGAAATTGAGGCAGGCTGATCGGTATTCTTCAGGATGCGTCCGGATATGTGCCACGTGGTCGGAGTCGACGAAATCGATAGCTGTTACCGAATTTCCTTTTTCCTTCTGCTTGTTGATGAACTTCTCAACGTGTCTAAAATCATCGAAGGTTGAATTTTATGGAAAAACCCCATATACTAACTTCGCTTTAATCATTGTGTCGGCTTTTGAATATAAATATAACTGATCTCGTGGAAGGGTGATATGTGTTTGAAGATAATAGTAAATTGACATGAATGATCGGAGGAACGGCACGACAGCCAGAAGTGGTATTTGCTGAAAATTTCAATAAAAATTATGTCTGCTTTAAATTAAGTCTTACCAATGTCGCTCGTAAATTTAGAAACCAAGTGAGCATCGAAATTCTCGTCTGCTCACTTATCCAACGCTCAAGCGCGTCGATGGGAGGAGTTGAAATCACCATCGCTGTGGCGTCTTGCTTTCCGTAGGGACGAGATGGGGCACTGAAACATAATAATTCTAATATTGACTAATGCAATAGTTGAATACCTATCAAAAATAATTCCTTTAATTCTGCCTCTCAGCTCTGGTTTTTCTTCAGCTTCAGTCCATTTCCAGAACGAAATAAGTCCACGGACACCATTCATCGAAAAGGAGTGGATCACTATGGGACTGTAAAACCGTTGATTTCAAAATAATTTTGATCTATTTAAAAACATACCACTGAGAGAATGACCGAAAATCTCCAGCCTTCGAATCAACAGCTCTGAACAACGGAGATATATAAAAACCAACTCGTGAATTAGGAATACTGTAGTGATAGCATGGAGGGCAAAGCGAAACAACTCGGTATCTGAAAATTGACAATAACCAAAGACAAATCATTCGTTTTTCTCACCCTTCATCGTTATAAATCTTGATATATTTATCAATGTGCTTCGGATTCGCCCCTGCCCATCCAACCATCAAAACTACTGGCTTCTTCTCATCGTGATGGTTGTCACTGAGAACGATGGAATCCACGGTAACATCTAAAAAGCATATATCGTTGTAGTTCGAAATTCAAACATCGAATTCGGAAAGGATTTACCTTCCGATTTCGGCAAGTGAATCTGCATTTTTGGTTCTGGGACATGACGGGTGAAGTATTTTCTCTTCTGAGAACCAGAAGAAGACGTGGCGGCTGTTGAAGATGATGTGACAGCTACAAGTTTTGGTAGGAGGCGACGGGTGGCAAGCATCTGCAATTATTTCATTAATCAATTAACCGAAACCATTATCAAGTTTATTTCAAACATACAACTCTGAACCCAGTGAACGGAAAAAAATAGAAAAAAAACGCGGAAATTTCATCTGCGGGGCGCCTCGCTCCTCTTTCAAACCGTCCGTCGTTTGTCTGCGTCTCTACGCGTCAACATGATGTTTTTCGACAAACAGCTCTGTTTTCTCTGCGTTCAATCACTTGGGCCACAACAATTGGGGACCAAAGAAGAGGATGATTGCAGGAAGAAAGTAATAGCTTGATAACATTCTGGTAGAATTATGACCTCAAAAACAAAGAGCGGATATATTTTTATTGAATAACAAGAATTGAATAAGATATAATAGAGAATGGTACATTATCAAGTATTAAACCTTCAATTATTCAACAAGTAAAGAAAATTATGATATTCGAGAAAATGAAGAAGAGGGCGGATAAATGCATAAATAGAAAAACAAAAAATATATTGAAATGAGAATCCTTCAATCTATGGTGATCACGTCGTCGTAGTCTTTGTTGTGAACTAAAAAATTAAACTCAGAAAGTTTCTGAAAACTAGTAAAAACGTTGGCCATATATGTGCTGAAATTGATTTTGTGATTTGTATCGCGGAGGGGATCTTCTGTATTTCGCGTATTCTGCAGCATAGCTAAAGAACTGTCGTTCTTCCTTCACAAAGTAATCAAATTCTTCAATTGGTGATTCGCAGCGAGGAACCATGAAGCTATGATCGGGTGCTTCTGGTGAAGCTTCTTTCTCAGTATCCAACTCTCCATGTGGCGGCGAGAAACTCGAAGAAATGTCCGATTCGATGATAATCTCTTCTTGGGATTCCTCGTTAAATGGCGATTCTTCTTGTGTCGGCTCAACATACACACTTTCAAATTCAATCACCGTCCCGTTATCTTTCTTCAAGAACTCTGGTTTGAAGTTTTGAAGAGCCCCGTATATGCTCCCCAACACTGCCATTCTGTGATGATTACGGGACCAAACTGACATAACGTTCGGAAGACTGAGAGAAGATTCTGAAAACACTAAATTAGCGAGGCGGTAATTGAAGCATTGAAGACCTCTATCTTTGAAAAACCGGAACCCGGATTCCACCGTTCTTCTGATAATCATGTTCTTTCTTGTTTTCAGAATTTCTTCTTCGGTTACGATGATGACGTCACCGTCCCTCTCACCCTTACTGATATCACCCTTCTCCACGTCCTGCGCTTTTTTGGAACGAGCGATTTGTTTTGATAAGAAGCTTCTTGACCTCATAAATCTTCGAGGAGAAGGTGATTCTGAAGCTGATTGCTTTAGTTCAACTGGGAGTTTTTTTGGGACAGGATCTTCTCCTCCTCCTTCCACTCCTTTTTGACTTGCGTTTGTTTTGACACTTCTCCTCTTGTGCATGTTCATTTCAACTCGCTTTGGAGCACTCTTTTCGATTTCATAGTCGACTTCTTGTTGATCATCATCGCCATAAGTCGGAGAACTTCTTGCACGACAGAGTTCTGGATCTATAATTTAAAGCATTATTCAAAAATCGTTCAACTGCGCTTAACCATCAAAATCATAGAAGCTATCATCCATTTCTGGACAATCCAAGCTGTATTGGCGAAAACTTGTAGAACGGCCTTCGCCTACAAAAAAAAACAATGTTACTTCGTTTACAGAGAAATCCAGAGTTACCGTGTCTTTTTGAGAAATTGGTACTGCTGAGGCTGTCCCATTCGTTGTCAAACGTTGCCTCTGGCGCGAATTTTGATTGGGTCAGCTGGTACTCCAGTCTCCAGAAACTATACTTGTATGTCTCACCGTAATCGGTTCTCCAGTCGAAACCAAATTTCATCATTTTGCTTTCTTTTGGACTTCAAAGTCCTTGAGTGAGCGTTTTAATAAACTTGGAAACAAGATATGAGTTTTCCAGAGAGTTGAGAATTAATCCAAGACAATGATAGCAGTATTGAGAATCGATAACGCATTTCACTACAAATTGAAACAACGAGAATTTCATAGAACCTCCAAGAACTTCGGTTAGTGCGTCCTTTAAGCTATCGTGATCTACTCTGAAGATAAAATTACTCGACTTTTCTGCTCCATTTCAGACTCACTCGTGCTCATCAATACTAAAGTCGAGGAACTGTTTTACAGGGCCATAGTTGTTCAGAAATTTACCGCTTGTGTGACATACTTTAAATGGACGGAGTACATCGGAGCTATCTCTGGAAATTAGAAATTATAATGCCAACAAGAACAAAGTCACAACATACAATTTTTTCAAGGCTTTTGATCTGTTCATAGTCAAAACCTCTCCAAAAACGCGGCTGTTCCAGTACACAACTCTATCTTCTGGAAGACTATCAGGAATGCTTTGAATATACTGCACAAGATTCGTATTTGGGTGGCTCTCGTTCTGTTCGATATGAATTGAGTTTCTCACAGCATTTATTACTGCAATGAGATGATTACCGCATTCTTTTTCATTCTGAAAATCTCAAATTTATTAAATCAGTCTTTTTTATTTTGGACAAACCTCTTTGCTAGATCGAGGGTGAAGCACAACGATAATGTCTCGATTCCAACTGAATTTTCTTTCAATCTCCTCGGAGACATTACGACTGATTCGTGTGAGTTCATCCATGCGCTTCAGCTTTCCCTGAACTGAAAAAAATAGTGAAAAACTTAGAAAATGTTCTTGAGTGGCAGTATGAAAACTGTCAGGATAATACACACTTGTTATTTAAATACAATAATTTAAGACTCCACCGATTCCGAGGAAGGGGTTGTCTCCGAGGAACCGATTCCGAGGAAATCGGGGCGGTGTTTCAACTTTCGCAGTGCACTTTTGCAGTGCCGCAGTTGCAAAGTAAAGGTTGAGCATTTTTGAAATAAACTTCCGATCTGAAAGGTGGTGTACGGTGAAATTTTTTATTGCATCAAAATGTGCAGAAATGCATGTAGATTGACATAAAAATAAAGAAAAAATTCAAAAAAAATTCCTTCATCGAGAAAAACGCATCAAAAAATACGCTGAAAGCCCTTAGGGACGAGCTTTTTTCTAGGCCACCCGGTGAGTAAAAGCGCGCGAATTCAAACTTTAAAAATTTTTTCGCTCGGTTTCACTGCTTTTTCGGTTTTTTCAAGAGTTTTCTAGGTTTTTGTCAATTTTTCTTCCAGATACATCGGAAAATTTGAAAAAACAGTGAAAACGAGCGAAAAAATTTTTAAAGTTTGAATTCGCGCGCTTTTACTCACCGGGCGGCCTAGAAAAAATCTCGTCCCTAAGGGCTTTCAGCGTATTTTTCGATGCATTTTTCTCGCCGAAGGAATTTTTTATTATTTTTTTCTTTACTTTTATGTCAATCTACATGCATTTCTGCACATTTTGATGCAATAAAAAATTTC